CAAACTTAAGCGAAGGAAGTGCCCAGTGGTAGAGGGGTTTGGAAACTGTTGACCCAAAGTTACTGGTTCGTTCCAGTAAATTTAACAGCTGCTAGTGTTTTAATAACATCTTTGACATGGTCAATGCAAGATTGCCATTTGTATTTAATGTTGACTTGGGCATAGTAAGCACAGTCTTGAAATTTACTAATACATAAGTAGCCAGAATTGTGAGAAGACTTCACAAATACATAGGTACTTCAGGAATATGCTCAGACAGATGAAAGATGCACCATAACAAGGATAAACATGAGGTAACACATTTTGTGAAGAAAAATAAAGGACAGATGTTTACTCATGTTGCTATAGAGCAGATACATCGAGAGGTTTGAATACATAATTTCTTTTGAAATGCAGGTGCAGTTAGGTCGAACCATTTAAAAGCAAAGACCAACAGCGTTTTGGCTTCCATTAAAGTATTTTGTTAGTCATATCAATATCATACAAAAAAATGAATATTCACGATGATGAGAAACTGAGGATTTGAAATATTTTCTTGTTTCAAGTTAGCCGCCTTATCAGAAAATTCTATTCCTTTTTCTCAGTACTGGTTGCCTTAACTTGTAGCTGTATAATTAAATCTTGTGCCCAGGCGCATCTGTTTTATTATCTTCTAAAGGCATAATACCTCTTTGGATCAAAAATTAATGCTTGGTTGACAGATCTATCTGAAGTCTGAAGGTTTTTTTTAGCCATTAACTAAATAGGAATGACTTCAAAGGTTGGACCTTTTCCCAGATAATGACTACTGGCAGATACCAAAACCGCAAAATACCTTATGAAACTTCTGTTACTGAAGATTGTGCCCTCTGGTACACAGGGAGGAGGAAATGTGACTCATTGTGAACTGTTTCCCTGAGGCAACAAACATCTATTGCCTTCCTATTAGCCTAAAGAAACGGAGTACTCTACCATTCATGGCCCTATCACAGAAAAGCAGTGATAGCAGTAATTCCCATGCTCTAGGTATCTAGATAGGTAATATTATCTCAAATAATACCACAGTTAACAGGATGTAGGTTGTAGATTGTCCATGAGCATCAGCTCCTTTGACTGCCTCTTGAACCCTTTCTGGAGAAGCCAACCACTGTGGGTTTTAACAGAAATGCAAAAACACGACAGTTGCCATCACCATGATGTGGATCAGAACTGTCAGTTCTGAAGAAGAGTTATATTGGGCTCAGAATCCCAAATCTTTTTGTCTGCCTCTCCGCCTCTCCGTGTGCCTCTTCCACCTCTCTCTGTCTACAGGTGCTGCCAGACCTACTGAGTTTCTTCAGTACTTTAATTCTATTTCAGAATTATGGATCTTGTACAAAATACAAATGAGTGCTCGAACACCTCCATCAACACAATCATCACATTGCAGGACTACATCACAAATCGTGAACTCCTCAACAGAAATAATCTAGCTATCATTGAATGTATTCTTTATCATAAAGTTGTCAGTTTTCAACGTACTACTTTCTGGCAAGAGATACAGAGATACACCTTGTAAATACTTCAAAGACCAACTAAAATAGCAGCATCTTTGGCGGAGGTTGGAAAACTGGATGCAGGAGGCTACCAGCAGAGATGACAACAAGGAGAGCAACTTACAAGTTTGAACAAACAAATGTAAGGTTTTTGAGTAGATTTGTAGCTCGGGTTGTGGATGTTGAGGTTGGTTGGCTCGCAGAGCTGGTTCGTTGTTCCACAGACGTTTCATTACCCTGCTGGGTAACATCATCAGTGCAGCCTCCGATGAAGCGTCGGTGTGTTTTTTCCCGCCTGGTTTTTAAACTCTGGAGTCCGTTGAGCTAGATTACCTCACTTCCGGTTTTTCTTCGCAATGGAGTGTATATGGGGTTGAGTTCTATGTGTTTGTTGATGGGTTTCTTCATGGAGTACCAGGCTTCTAGGAACTCCCATGTCTGTCTCTGCTTTGCTTGTCCCAGGATCTTGGTCTTGTCCCAGTCGAATTGGTGGTTCTCCTTGGATAAGTTTTCTGTAGTTTCTTAGGGTCCTGGGCAGAGCAGTTACCATACCAAGCTGTGATGTACCTGGATAGAATGCTTTCTATAATGCATCTATAAGCAGGAATTCCTGTTTCCTAATTGTTATTTTTGTTAATTAATTCATGGAACATGGGTGTCTCTGGCTAGGTTAGCATTTATTGTTCATTACTAATTGCCCTCAAGTAGCTAGTGAGTTGTCTGCATGAACTATTATTGTCTTTGGCATATACAGGCACCCAGATCCAGAATTTTGACCCGGTGGCAGACTTCAGACTCTGCAAATTAGAATCGGCTACTTTTAGACACCAAGGATCATGCCAATTGCCGTAAAGTCATTACTTTCACCAGCAAAGAATTTTCCATCATCATCAATTGAAAATTCATTAATAAGTTGGTTTGGACCTTTACCTATACAAGATCATCAGTCAACATTCTACAATGCATTGTTGGATTTATGCTTTGTGCTTCAAGTTTATTTTTGTTGTGTATTCTTAGTTAATACCCGTGATGTTGCACAAGGGGAGTCAAAACAAAATTTATGGGTGCGCTGTGGTGGAGGGGTGGGAACAGTGGCTGTGAGAAGAAACCAGTCACAAGCTGAAGGGGCTGATGTGGAACAAGAGGAGGAATGGAGAGGGAGTAGCAGGAGATAAAGAATATGAAATACTCAGGCCCATTTTACAATGAGAGGAAGGAAAAGATGGGAAAGTTAGATAGGAAGTGAAGTAGAAGTGGTGAAGAGAGAGGAGGAAGTAGTGAAAATAGTGATGGATTCTCGAACTGTGTGGTGGCACTGGGCTGAAGCCAGTTGTCATTATTGATAGGAAGAGGCAGCTGAGCTGGACTTTGTCCTGTTTCTATTTCCATGGAGGATTTTGCTCAGTTTTTGGTGCCAGAACACACTTTGCCATTTCTTTGGAAATTATTTTAGTACCCTGACCCCTGATTTCCCCTCTTTCCAATAGGAAAGTTGAGAGTAAAGTTAGATTGTAATGTTTTTATGTGCACTATTCTAAATATCTTGCATATCTGTGTTTTAAAAAACAAATGGTTTTCACATTTGGGGTGGCAAGCTGCTAATTGTGCAGGGTGAATGAAGGGGTTAGCGAAAGTCAGTGAGATTGAAGAGCAGGTAGACAAGTGCTGTGATTTGATTTGTTATTGTCACATGTAACTAGTTTTGCGTGCAGTACAGGAAGATCATACCATACAAAGTACATTAGAGTAATAGAACAGAGCGAGGAATACAATGTTACGGCTGCAGAGAAGGTGCACAAAAAATGAGGTCAGCATTAAATTTGAAATTTGAGAAGTCCGTTAGAAGCCTAATAACAGCAGGGAAGAAGCTGTTCTTGAATCTGTTGATATGTGTGTTTAAGCTTTTGTATCTCCTGCCTGATGGAAGAGTTTGGAAGAAATTATAACTGGGGTGGGAGGGGTCTTTGATTATGGTGACTGCCTTTCCAGCAGGCAACAGGAAGTGTAGATAGAGTCAGTAGATCAAAGATCAGCTTGCATGATGGACTGGGGCCTGTGTTCACCACTTTCTCTGTAGTTTCTTATGGTCCTGGGCAGAGCAGTTACCATACCAAGCCGTGATGTATCTGGATAGAATGCTTTCTATAGTGCAACTATAAAAATTGGTAAGAGTCTTTACCAATGTGCTGAATTCCCTTAACCTCCTGAGGAAGTAGAGGTGGTGTTGTTGTGTTTTCTTGATCGTCAGGTCAATGTGGGTGTACCAGGACAGATTGTTGATCATCATCATCCCTCGGAACATGACACTATTGACCATCTCCACATCAGCCCCATTGATGTCGATAGCGTGATTGGAGGAATGAACAGAGACATAGAAGTGATCAAGACTGAGTGCGTGAATAGGGTTGAAGGGTAGTATTAAGATTGAGCGGATAAAGATCAGAGATTCTTCCAGATGAACCCTATCGGGGAAGCAATGGCCTAGTGGTATTATCCATGGACTGTTAATCCAGAGACCCAGAAAGTTCTGGGTTTGAATCCTGCCACGGCAGATTGTGGAATTTGAATTCAAACACAAAATATCTGGAATTAAGTGTCTAATGATGACTATGAATTCATTGTCGATTGTCGGAAAACCCAAATGATTCACTAATGTCCATTAGGGAAGGAGAGTACCATCCTTATCTGGCCTGGTCTACACGTGACTCCAGACCCATAGCAATGTGATTGATTCTGAAATGCCATCAAGGATGGGCAATAAAATGCTGCCCAGCCAGCGATGCCTTCATCCTGTGAATGAATAAAGGAAAAGAAAAGATGAGACAGGCAATTACAGAGGAGATTGGGAACGAACTAGCCTAAAATGTATGAAGGTAGCTCAGATGATTAAATTTTGAATCCACTTAAAATAGAAATGAAAACAAAACAAATTAAAGTTACAAATTAGGAATTCACCTGAATTTGCCAGATATTGGAGCTCAACAAAATCTACCCTGCAGCATGAGCTTGAGCAACAGATTTTGGCACTCTCCTTGCAGAAGCTAGTGTAGCAAACAGAAATTTGTTAATGTTTTTGACATGTTATATGCTTGAACTACGGCATTGCCCTCAAGAACTCTAATATTGTAAGATGTGGATTTGTGTGACATTGCATCCAGCAAGAATCTCTTAGTCACTTGTAACATTGTAATAGTACAATTAGTGGTGCATGGTCAGAGAACCCATTTCTCTGCCTCATCATAAAAATCAATATCAATTGCAAACTTTGTGGATTAACTTGGGTCGCTGTGTTGCTGCCAGTAGGATTTACAGAGTGGAACTGGTGGACCCGGTATAATCACAGGAATAGAAAATATTATGAATATTTTAGTTCTGAAGCATAAAATATTGACTGTAAAATAACTGGTATTTTGAAATTAACTGACTTAAAGATGAATCATATTTTGTAATCACTGAAATATATTAAACATAAATCTACCTTTTCAGCCAGTTAAAGAGAAGATTGTAGAATCATTGGAAAAAGATGCAAGTGTGAATAATGCAGATGTGATAACAGAAAAGAAAAAGGAGGAAAGTGACAAAGGTGAAGAACTTCAGAAAGATGAAGATACAAGCAAAAGGTCCCCTCTGAAAATTCCCAAAAAAGTCAAGATTGTGCAATGCAAAGTCTTTATGTTGGATGGTTCAGAATCCAGCTATGAAATTGAGGTAAGGTTTAATGATAACATGACAGTAGTTTCATGATTATTAATGACAGCATATGTACTTAATTTGGATGCCATTGGACTTATTTGTCATAGCAGGGAGTATACCTCCAAAATCATAAATTGTTTAATATGTTCTCTTCCTAGTCATCCCAGAATGTGAACAGCAACATATTGAAGTGTTTAGATAAGCACTCCTGTTTCTCATGCAGTTGAAGTGGACATGGAACAAGAAAGATTGAGCACTCTAGAGGGTGTCCTGAAACGTGGCAGTCTTTGATCATTCACGGTAAAAATAAAGAATATATGTGTATGAAGGAGATTGGCGATGTAGAAAGCAGAGAGGGGCATAAGATCTTTGGTAAAGGGTGTTGAGACAGCTGCAGTTGCTGCTACGGGTGAGCTAATGATGTAGGTGATTGGTTTGGAATTGTAAAGGGGTGGCTCAGACTCCAAATATTCATCTTTAGGCTTTGTTATTTGAATAGTTATTTGCCATCACCAAAGTGCAGTTGAATTTCCTGAGTTAGATGAAAGAACTTGTGGTTAGGAACATTAACCTGTTAATGAATATAATAGTCTTTACATGACATATGAATTGAACTGTATTGCAATTTTCACATCTTGATCACGCCCTGGTCCACTGTGTTCTGACTGAGGAAATAATGGCACACATGTGCTTTACATTTCATCATCAATCCAATACTGAGAAATACAACTTGTCACATATCCTCTAGTCTCATCTTTAACCAGGATGATAGCATGACTGTTCATTGTTCCAGCAGGTTACTTTGCTTAAGGAGCTGGAATATTGGAAAAAACATTACTAAGTTGAGGTTATCAAACAAGCAGATACTGGAGATCTAAAATTAAAACAAGAAGTGCTGGAGAAACTCAGCAGGTCTGCCAGTATTTATGGAGAGAGGAGTAAAGTTAACGCATTAATAACTCTTTTGTTGACTGGAGCAGGTGTGGTTCCCTTGGGTATATATAGAAGTGTCATTTTGGACTTGAAACTTTTCACTGATTTAATTTTTCAAGTTAATACTCATTAATTACTCGTGTATCAACCATGTTTCACATCAGATGTTGATTTCGATTTCAATTTCTATTTTATGGCACTGATACAGAGAAAGTTTTGCTATCTCAAAGTATTACAAGAGTTTCATTGCAGTTTGCAAATTTGACAGAAGATTTTTGAACTTTGAAGCCTACTTGGAAGAGGTTAAAAAATGCACCTGCAACGAAACACACCAGGGACAGAGTGGATCTAAACAGAGAGTAAGGCTCAGAGCTACAATCAACTGAGAATTGCCTTACAAAGAAACACACTGGGGACCGGCCAGGATATAAACAGAGAGCGTGGTTCATGACTACATGCTTGTGGGAGAGAGTGGAATTGCAAGGAAAGACAGAACAGAGAAGGTGTAAACAGAGAACTGCTAATGCTACAGCTCCAGAGCACCAGGTTTGAAAAAAATCAAAGTGGGATATCACAGTAAAGTTATGAGCTGATTGGTTGCTGAGTATCTAATGTGAGTGTCTGTTTGCTAAGAGCTAGATTCATTGGAGCTCCATTCTTTTTTTCATTTCTTTTTATTCTAGTCTCCAGTACAAGATAGGGAAAATGTGGGAAGTCAGTCTTTAAAAAGTTACAGCAGCTCACTTGGATAAGTTCAAGGTAATCAGGCTGAGTCAACATGGATTCATGAAAGGGAAATCATGTTCAACCAATCTGTTGGAATTCTTTTGAGGAATATCATGTGTTGCAGATACAAGGAAGCCATTGAATGTACTGGACTTAGATTTTTGCCTATTTTGCTTCCTTTCAGAATTACCATTATGTCCCATCTCATACTCATATATTGTAAATATAATTTAATCTGGCTGAGGTTGGCATGAAAGAGTCTCCTCGATCTCTCCCCTTGCCTGAGGTGAGGTGATCCCTCAAGTTAAACCACCCGTCATCTCTCTCTAATGACAGCGCAGCCTTGTGGTGCAGTAGAACTATGGCAACTTTACCTCATGTAAATTAGCAGCTACAGGAATATTTTAAAGTTAAACACGTGTTGTGTTTTGCCTACAAAATAATAATTTTCAATAAACTATATATACCGAACTTACTATATATTTAGCATACATTAATTATGCAAAGACAAACATTTAACAGGACATTGAATGCATATTAATCACCAAAATTAGATTGAGATATTCTGAGAAAATCCTAGCAGATCCCAACATATTGCTCATAAATATGAGTAAATTACATCACAGTTGCTTCAGTTTTGATCAACAATGTAGTTAACAATAGTTTCATAGAAGAGTTGTATGCTTCTGTAGCATGTACGGTTATCAGTTTTTTTTTGTTGTATTACTAGGCTGTGATGTTGATTTCTTGGAATTATAACATGAGCTATGATGCATAATTGGTTTGTTGAAATTCAATCTCTGCAATTAGATGACATAAACAAGTTTGGAACAACATACCAGTGCAAACTTTCAATAAAGGCAATGCAGTCATTAGTTTTTGAATCCTGGATTCATAATGGTTTATAATTTAGTAGGAGTTTTGTTTTTAAATGCTTACTGGCATTGGATATTATGCTGAATTGAATAAAATGCCTTTTTTCTGGAATCGATTCCAAAAAGTAGGATCAGTGAACTTTATACAGATAGCATGTTTTTTTTAAACCTTTGTTTGAAGGTAGCTGATAATACAAGGAGCAGACTCTGCCGAACATGAAATAAGGATCATTCAATGTGGAAGGAATGTGTTAACAGTTATTACATCTTTGCAGTTTGGTGGGCAAAAGAAACCGTGTAACTCCTGGTGGAATGTAGCCAGATTGAACTCTTGTGTGGGATGCATACTTCAAGCTGGTGTTGCGTCGTATTTGTCAGATTCAGTGCCACTAGAACAAGAAGTGAGGATGAGATGGCCCAGCCCTAACGTGGTTGTTTGGATGCAATTTAAATACCCAGTATACCTTAAATAAGTTAAATTTATATTGCATCTTGAATGAAGTAAAATACAAGAAATTTGACAATATGCTTTCATATTTTATTTCACATAGTTTTAAGATTGGAGATGGTCAGAGATATTGCTATCAATTTTACTTTTTAACAATGAAAAGTTGAATCTTTGCCTCATGTACTTCATTACTGTGAGTTCTTAAATTCGCGTCAGTGTTATACTGAAGATAGGTTGCTTATAGTTTCATGCAGTGAGGCATCACAATCAATGCCAAGTCAGAATAATATGTTTTAAGTTGCTAAATATCCTTGAAATCCTTGAAATTTTTTACAATGACTGTATATCTCAATTATTTGTCACAAATGACTCATTTTCTGCTCTTCCAAATTCACTAATGAGCATTACATCATTTTGTAAAGATTTGTTTCCTGTTCCCAGCTCCTAACTTTATTTATTCACTTTGAAATCTATCTGCTGTTCCTTGGATCACTTGTTTAATGCGGTCATTTTAAGTTTGTCGATCCTGTTTTCACATTTATTACCACAGTTAAGTGGAGAATTGGTCATTGGTAATTAAAACAAAGCTGGTATAATTAGACCTCTTTTAGCAGATTTCCTTCCCCAAGGACATTTGTGAACTAGATGGGCTTTTACAACAATTGTTGATAGTTCAATGGTCCCCTCACTGAGACCAGCTTTATGTTCCAAATTTTATTTACAGAATTCAAATTCTAATAGTTGCCATGTCCCCAGAGCATTAACCTCTGTCTCTGGATTACTACTCTTGTGACATTGCCCCTATGTCAGCATCACCCCACATACTCTGTCATCTAGGCATAAAGCATCCATTGAAAGGTTATTTTCAAACTTCTCTCTTTACTCCTGTTCCTCTCTCTCTTCTGTCAGCTTGCATCCTTGGATTTGCTTGCAGAACTCCTTTCTTGTTTTGAAATTGGCCAATACAGACATAAATATTGCTTTTGGCGCTTTTGATTCTAAAAGGCTTGTCTTTCATTGGAGTTTCGGGAGCATTGCTATGAGGGTTTATATAATTATGAATGACTAGAACAGTCAGACAATGTAGAATTTGCTACCTAGCTGCTGATCCTTTAGAAGGATCCACTTAAATGCAGCCTTTGCATTGTGTTATGGAAGAGGAGCTTAAGTGGCTAATTCTTTCACATTGGATTATGAATTTTGGTCTCCTGAGACTTGTACATTCTTTAATATTATTTTCAAGATCGTATCAGATCTTGTGAAAATTTCAGCAAGCAACAGAACTCTTTCAAAACTGAGGAAAGCTAATTGATTGATAACAGCAGTCTCATAAGCGTCAATCGATGAATCCGTTTGTTATTTCCCTTAAGCAGGATCGACTGGAACCAATATATTGACTTTTATGAAACTCTGGTTAGACCATGGCTAGAGTATTGCATCCAGTTTAGGGCACAGCACTTTAGGGCCGAAGTAAGGGTTTTCAAGACGGTGTAAAGAAAATTTTCTAGAATAGTTTCAGGAATGAGGATTTTAACTACAAGGTTAGGTTGGAGAAGCTGGGGTTTTTTTCTGCTTGAGGGGCGATATCACAGAATCACAGGAAAATGTTCAGCCCAACATGCTTGCACTCAATCATTAGGTGAACACCATTGCCTACTGCCAATCTCGTCTTCCTTTTTCCCATACTCTTGCACATTTATTTTAATCCAAATAACCGTCCACTGTCTTCTTGAATACCTGAATTGAACTTTCCTCTGTCACCTATCCAGACACTACATTCCATTTATTTCTTGCAGAGGAAAAAAAATATTTTCTTCACTTCATCCTTGCTTCAGTTGCAGATCACTTTGAATCTATGCTGTTTTTATTCTTGTTCCTTTTGTGGAACTGTATTCAGCCCACTCATGATTTTGTGAACTTCTATCAGATCTTCTCCTAGCCTTCTTTCCTCCAAGGACAACAGTCCCAACCTCTTCAATCGACCCTCATAACTGAAGTTCCTCATCCCTGGAACCATTCTTGTAAACTGCTTCTGCACTCTCTCCAATGCGTTCACATCCTTTCTATAATATGATACCCATAACTGTGCACAATACTCCAGCTGAGGTTTAGCAAGTGTCATGCACATGTTTAACATTACCACCTTGCTCTTGTACTTTATGCCCTGATTAATAAAAGTGAGGATGTTGTGTGCTTTACTTCCTGCTTTCTATCTGATCTGCCATATTTAATGATCTGTGCACACAGACAGTCAGGTCCCTCTGATCTTGCAGTCCCTTAGGATTGTGTCCCCTATTTTATGTTGTCTTTTAGGGCTGTTCCTACCAAAATACATTACCTCACATTTCTCTGCATTGAAACACTTATCTATCCACTCTACCAACTTGTCTGTTCTTATGGAATTCTACACTTTCCTTTTGCAGTTTACAGTTCTTTCAAGTTTTGTGTTAAAGGCAAACTTTGAAATTTCCCCCTGCACACCAAAATCTAGATTGTTAATATATCTCAGGTAAAGCAAATGTCCCAATAATGACCCCTGGGGAGTGCCACTACAAAACTTTCACCAGCCTGAAAAACACCTATTGACCATTGTACTCTGATTCCTATCACTAAGCCAATTTTCTATCCATGTTGCTACTGAACCTTTTATTTCATGAGCTATCCTTTTCCTCTCAAATCTGTTGTGACATTGTATCAAACAGCTTCTGAAAGTCCATGTGCAACACATCATCAGTTTTACCATCACAGAGCCTTTCTCTTACCTCTTCAAAAAACTCCAGGTTAGTTAGACATTATTTTCCCTTTAGAAATTCTCGCTGACTCTTCTTAACCACCTAACTTTTTTCATGTAACTGTTAATTCTATATTGAATAATTGTCTGTAGAAGTTTCCCCACTGTTGAGGTTAAATCAACTGGTCTGTAATTGCTAGCCTTATCCTTTCAACTTTTCTTAAACAAGAATGTCATGTTTGCAATTTTCCAGTCTTTTGGCACCTCCCCAGAGTTTTGGTAGGAATGAGATATTATGGCCCTTGCTCCTGCAGTATTTCCTCTCACTTCCTTCAAATTTGAGTTTTGGGTAAGAGACCAAAGGAGGTTTGCAATTAGGATCCAATCAGTGAGGTGGAGGTAAATATTCATGTTGTTAAGGAGACTGGAAACTGTTGAAATTGTGGAGAATTTGGGAAATGACCAGATAAGATGAGAAAAATATGGTTAAGATAGGATGCATCAGTTCTATGGGGTAAGACACAATTGGAGTGAGCCAGGCCATTTCTATTTATGGATTCTGGGAAGTGTGCATGTGATGTGGCCGAAGTTGGAGTCTGTGGAGAGAAAGTTATTGAGTGTTTAAACCGTGACTCTACCTCCTATGGCAGGTTGTGATCCTGCGATAATAGAACATGGTGTCAGAGAAGTGTTCAGCCTTCACAATTTGGATGCCAATTCGATAAACAGCACCATGCTTGTCAACAGGTTAAGTGCTAATGGGCTGTATTTAATGGTCTCTGTATTAGACACATCCATTGGGTGGAGTGGTGAGCCTGCTTTGGTCATTACTAGTTGTGCACCTGCCTGGTCATTGTTTGTGTGCTAGGTTTGTGTGGAGTGGATGTCTTACCTCTGACAACTACTAACCAATCCAAGTCTAATAGCTGTCCGGTTCTACCTCCGCTACCAAGAGCAGTGGCCACTGTCTGTGCTGCAGTAGGGCCCAGGATGCAGAACAACAGTAGGTCTTTGAAGCTCTCATAAGTGGGGCACGCAGGCCTGGGCCACTCAAGCAGGCCTTGGTGTGGGTGGGAGATTCATTTTAAAGGATTGTCTTTCCATGGGGTGGCCCTTGCATTTTGAAAGAGCCTTCTATTGGATGTAGTGTGTCCGAGTAACTCTCCAAGGGTCTGGCAGATCTTCTAAGGTGTACGTGGTGGTTTGCCCATGCATCTAGGTGCTGTTAGAATAGCAGTGACAGTCCTCAGTCCTCAGTTGCTCTCAAGATGGTAAGACCATGCTGGACTCTTCCTTTCCTTGACTTAATTGCAAGGAGTCAGGGAAGCAAATGAATTTACCGACCTGAGCTTCCTGACCCATTTAGCAGCTATCCACAGCTCCCAACCGACTCAGTTAGGGCATCGAAATCTACCCAATGTGTGGGTTGGATCTGAGAGAATGGAGTACTGAAAGGTAGGTTGGAATGAGTAAATAGAGTAGAAAAATTGTGATGATAGATGTCACACTGTTAGCTTCCAACAAGCAAATCTTGCAGTTAAGAAGTCAGCAGTAGTCTAAGTGAATTGAGAGTTCTGAAGAATTAAGAGTCCACTGTGTGGGAGAAGACCCCTGACCAATATAGCAGGCTGGCACCGAATGGATGGGAGCAGAGCCTGATGCCATGCTCCATTCATCGAGGTAGTAAAGGGATGAAGCTGGATTCAAGAAAAGAACTGTTTGTTTTGGGGTCATAGAAGAAAGAGCGACTGAGAGCATTTGAAGGAGGAGTTGGGTACAGTTGAAACTGATGGGTATGATGGATCTGGGGGTGTGTTCAGATGCAAGATTTCAGAAATTTGGTAACAAAATAAATCAGTTACTTGTAAAATGTTAATTGTTAGCCGGTGTCTTGCTTCTTAGCATCTGGGAAGGCCTTCGTTAGAGGAACACTTAAAAGACTCCATTACTTGTGCACCAAATATATCCAGAAGCACAGTGTGATTTCTGTGCCCACAGATATAAAAAAGTATCATCCTCTTCAGTCAAATGTGCTAAACAAAATATACGCCTTTAACCCCTTAGCAGTGCAGAATACCACAAGATTTTCAGGAAAACTGGCTGACCACCAAAGCTCTTAATTCTCTTTTTTCCTTCTGTGATGACATCGATTATACGATAATAGTTTGATAACATCACTTGTAACAATTTCAGAGTGAAGAATCGAGTGAATCAGAACTACCTCCGAGCCCCCATTTTCTTTGATATAATTCCACTTCATGTTCCTGAATTTTACCTTCGCTGTCAATATGGAAGGTATTTAGATGCATAATGGGTAGTGGCAAGCTTAATAATTTGTTCAGGCAGTCAGTGAAAACAAATGGCAGCACGTTTTGATCAGAGAGCTCCTCTGTGGTACTGATACATGTTAATTGCTCTCATGCAAGTTCAGCCACAGCCAATTATGCACACTCTCTCCCTCGGCTGTAACTTGTTTCACTTGACTGTAGGCATCAAGACAGCTGTCGTCGTGATTAGTGTGCCCGACGCTCAGCCTCAAGGATACTTGCATGTGTGACTTGACATCAACATCAACTCTCTCACTTGGGAGACACTAGCTGAAGAAGGTGATGTCATTGTCATATGGCCCTATGTATCCAACCATGGTGATCACTGTCCACTTGGCAGCAGTGTCAACAGTCATCAATAATGATATCTGATAATCATTTTATGTTGGCATATGTGATAGAAACTGTGTATCTTTGGTTAATATCTTCAGCAAACAGCAAAAGTGTATCATATGGAGCAATGCCAATCCAATTGATTGGAATGTAGGAATTTAGGAATTAGGAGGGGAGTAGGCAGTTCATGGTTGATCTTATCCTGGTCTCAATTCCACTTTCCTGCCTGCTCCCCATCACCCTTTATTCCATTTTTCATTGGAAACAGCTTATTTCTTTCTTGAATCTGTTGGATATGATCCATATCCATAACCTTAACCAGGTAGGTCGATGCTGACAATGATGATTGCAGTTGCAAAAGTGATTTTATTTGCGTTGTTATATTAATTTGATACAAGGGGTTATTGAGAATAATTTTTTTCTTAAAATCGAAATGTCTGTAACCATTTGTATCATTTGGCACATAGATTTTCTTCCTGAGTTTTCTATATTTGCTAAAGTTTAGAATTTTGACAAACAAAATTATTTAACCCTTATAACTATTTAAAGATCTGCATTATAATTCTGTACAGTCACCTTCTACAAGCAACTTTCAGTTTGTAACTAAAACAGGATGCTAGAAATAGTCAGAAGTCAAACAGAATCTGTCGAGAGGGGAGCAAAATTAATGCTTAAGTTCCTAGGCTTTTGTCAGAACTGCTAGATGTGTGCAGCTTTTAAAATGGGGGAAAATACAAAAAATATTCAAGGTGGAAGCTAGGACAGAAAAAATAAATAAAGGAATGATGGTGAAAGACAAAAGGTGACTGGACAGAGGTGGTAATGAAAGATGGGTCTAATAGAGGTGTAAATTGTTATTGATTCATACTGCTTTTTGCCTTGCTCCATCATTTTCATCACGTAAGCACTGCTTTCTCCAACTGGCCAGAGATTTTGCGTTTATTCACTCCTTTTCTTGGCTCTGTATTTGCTTAAAATTAGCTTTATGTTAATCCATATTTATTGGGAAATTTCACATGATTTTAAATTGTTGCCATTTGCTTTGTACTAAAATAAAAACATGAAATGCTGACAATATTCAGCGGCCAGATAATATCGAAGTTATGTTTCAGTTTGATGACTTTTCATCAACACTATTACCTTGTCGGCCAGCCAGTCAAGAAATTAGGGATAGCATATGGAAAAGCAGCAAATTGGAAGAAGTACAAATGAATGAATGGTTTGTATTGGCAAAATGATTTTTTTTTTTGAAGGATACAGAAATTAGTTGGAGTAAACAAGTTTGCATTCAGTAATACTATTCAGCACCATTTTCTCAACCTTCTTGATTATTAAGCATAAATGATGAGCTTAATATAAAAATAAACTAGTTACTCTGCTGTTCAACTATTTTTAATGACATTTGCTGGTAATGCAAATATGTTCCTTTTACATAAAACATTATTTTTGAATTTCTAGTATGTATTTTTCATATTAATTTTAAAATCTAAACTTGAGTGTGACTTCTGTTTGTCAGAAACGTGCCAAAGGCCAGGTACTGTTCGACAAGGTGTGTGAGCAGATCAATCTGTTGGAAAGGGATTATTTTGGGCTCACATTTCGGGATGCTGCAGATGAAAAGGTAAGATCAAAAGTTTCAGTAAAACTATTAATAGCCTTTTTTGAAGTGAATAGTTAAAATAGGAGGATTTCTAAATACAAATATAATTCACACCAGCCAATGATGACAATTAACTAAAAACTTCATTTAAAGCATTTATTTGCACCTTTTCCTTTCAATTTATCATTTTGGAGCATAGTATTTATTGCTGTAATTTGGAAACACGTTTTCAGTACCCAAAGATAGAGCAAAGAGTGTCCTTAGAGTTTTACAGGGTATAAAACTGTACGATAAAGGGAAATCAAGCGCGTTACATCAGATACATGACTCTCATTTTATCATGAAAAGCCTAACTTAATACTGATGTGTGATAGAAGTTCTCCAGGGAATTATGATCTGTCTTGAACAGTCTTATAATGGTTAAAGATTAGGAATGCTATCCTAGCTCATCTAATCAGAAAATAATCTGTTTCCTTATCACTCTAGTTGTTTAAATGATTCAAAATCTTACTCCACCTTATCTGATGTATACTGCTGTATAATAAGCCAATGCCATTCACTAGAGCAGCAATCTGCTTATTTATTATGCATTCTTCAATCTATTGGTATTTACTTTTATATAACAGTTACTTGTTGTAACATAACACAATGGAATGTGGTTGGTTTGAATTATAATAATACCCATGCACAAAGGTCAGAGGCTTTATTTAGGCACACAGACAAACCTCTAACATTCAGCATTTTTCATCTTTTATGATTTGGTCATTATGACTGTATTATGCTTGATTATTTCAAAATAGGAGTCCATCTCTGGTATTACTCAATATATATTGTTGCAACCAGGTGAGAAGTAATGAACTAGCTTCTTTGTTCAACTTTCTCAGTTGGTCACAAGGTTTAATATTTAAGATCTTCTTGCACAGTTATACGTCTTTCCATTTAAATATGTTAAATATATTTGCCATGAGAACTAAGGAGTCGACCTACACTGTTTCTTCAATCAAAGAAAGAGACACCTTATGAGCCCAAAGCAAAATACAAGTACTACCAAGTGGGGGTAGCACAATGGTAATGTTGCTGGACTAGTATCTCTGAATCCCAAGCTAATGTTCAGGGGGTGTGGGCTTGAATCTCACCAAGACAGATTGTAAAATTTAAGGTTCAGTAAAAAATATGGATTTGAAACTGGTCTGATAGTGACCATCTAACTATCCTTGATTATCATAAAAATCTCACTTGTCCATGACTATCTTTTAGGGAAGGAAGTCTGTGGTTGAATCTTAACTGTCATGTGGACAATTAGGGATCGGCAATAAATGCTAGCTTAGCTAGTGACACCCACAAGAAAATAAAACAAAGTCTTCATGTAGTCACTTGGCCCACACATATGTGTGCGCACATAGGTACAAAGTTACAGTGGAATGGTGTCTGATACAAAGGAGGATAAAATAATGTGCGATTTAGAGTCCTTTGGTTGTCTTCGAAGTGTCAGCTTTTAACCCGAGGTGAGTGTTGCTTGGCTAGTTTCTTGGATGCAGTCAGTTGTAGTAAATAATACCGGAATTGAACATTTTCAGTTTCTTGATTGTCTCTGCAGCTATTTATGTGGGAATCAGGGGGCTTTAAAGTGCAGAAAGGAAACGCCGGAGACAATATCTTTTCTTCAATTATCTGCCACAGTTCTCCCAGAACTTCCTTGAAATATTGGCTCCAATGTGTATTTCTAAGAGCTTCCTTAAGTAGGTCTGTCTGTGACATTTTTTTTCCCCTAAAATTCACTTGTGGGACGTGGGTATTGCTGGCTAGGCCAGCATTTTTGCCTATCCCTAGCTGCCCCTGAGAAGGTGTTGGTGTACTACCATTTTGAACTGCTGCCATCCATCTACTTTAGGTAGATCCGAAATGTCATTAGGGAGGGAATTCCAGATTTTGAACCAGTGGCAGTGAATGAATGGGAGTATGTTTGCAAGTCAGGATGGTGAGTGGCATGGAGGGGAGCTTGAAGCTGGTGGTGTTCTTCCTGTGTATCACCTGTCCTTGTCCTTCTAGATGGAAGTGGTAGTGGGTTTGGAAGGTGTTGTTTTAAGGATTTTTGGTGAATTTCTGCAGTGCACCTTGTAGATAATATGCATTGCTGTTATTGAATGTTGTTAGTGGAGTGACCGAATGGTTGTGGATGTGGTGCCAAATAGGTAGCTGCTTCGTCCTGGGCGTTGTCCAGTTTCTTGAGTATTTTTGGAATTGTGTGATGACAGTTGTGTCAACGTCCAGTAATTTGCAAATTTTAACATCTTCCTGAAACTGTGATTGGCCTCGGTGAAACACTGAAATATCCTAACGTAAACTTTGACTGAATAGTTGGGGCATTGGATCAAATTTGGGGAAATATGGTGGATCAAAGAATAGAGACGGGCATGAGAGACTGTTGCTAATGTGGGAAATGATAAACAGAAGACTATGACAGGATTTGGTAGCGAGTACAAAACTAACAGTAACTCAGCTAATAAAGCTAGAGGTTATAAATATAATAAAATGATAAACCAAAAGGTTATGTATCAGTAACCATGTGGTAAGATGGTATATAAAGGAAGAAATAATGGAAGTTTGTCAGGAAGGTCCAGTGATAATCATGGTTGATTTTAATTTACATAGACTAGAAGAATCATTTGGGTAAAAGTCACCTAGTTGGGTTCATAGAATGTTTTTAGGATAGTTTCTTAGAGCAGCATGTTCTAGAGTGAACTAGAGAGCAGGATATAGAAGATCTGGTATTGTGCAATGAGGTAGGATTCAATAATGTTATCACAGAGACCATAATATGGTTGAACTTTACATTGTTTGTAAGAGAGAAGAGTTGTCCAAGGCTTAAATAAGTGCAATTAAAGAGAACATAAAAACAGGGTTGGCTAAAATGAACGGGTAAATGGGGAGGTGACAGCCTAGTGGTATTATCGTTGGACTATTAATCCAGAGACCCAGGTAATGTTGTGGGTTCTGGGTTTGAATTTCAGTATGGCAGGTGGTAGAATTTGAATTCAATGAAAATCTGGAATTAACAGAATAATGATGACCACAAAACTACCATCCCTACTTGATCTGGCCTATATGTGTCTCCAGACCCACTCTTAAGTGCCTTCTGGGCAATTAGAGGTGAGCAATTAATGCTGGCCTAGCCAGCGACATCCACATCCCATGAATAAATTTCTTAAACGATGAGGTTATGGTCAATAAAGATGTAATGGCAAACAGTCAGAGATGTTTCAGAATACACAGAATAGATACCTTCCAATGAGAGAGAAAAATTCCCAGGCATGGATTCACCATCTGTGTTTAACTGAAAAAAGCTAGAGATACTATCTGACTTGAAGAAAGAGCTTATAGTTAAGCAAACTTGGGTGGTATGTCAGAAGATTGAACAGAACATAAAAACAGCAATGAATGACTAAAAAATTAATAGAGGTAGAAATTAGAAAGAAAGCTCACTAGAAATATAAAAATAGATGGAAAGAATTTGTAATGGGTATTTTAAAAAAAGTTAACACAATGAGCATTGGTCCTATAGAAAGTGAGTGAAGAGAAGTAATGAAAAATAAGGAGACAGTAGATGAGTAGCGCAGGTATTTAGCATCAGTCTTCACTATTGAAGATACAAGTAACATCACAGAAATAACTGTTAATCAGGAAAAAGAAGAGAGAGAAGTAAGGGATTGTCAGGGATGTAGTACTGAATTGTTGATTCTGCATGCTGACAAGCTCCTGATGACTTCATCTTCTGGTCTTAAAAGAAGTGGCTAGTGAGATAGCTGATGTGTAATAGTTTTTCCAAAATTACTTAGGTTTGGGGCATGTTCCAGTAGATTAGAAATTAGCGAATTCAAAAAGGGAGGGAGACAGACCAAATAAACTACAGGCCAATTGCTTAAAATCTGTCAAGGGAAGATGTTAGAAGCTGTTATTAAAAACCTTATAGCAGGGAACTTAGAAATGTTCAAGGTAATCAAACAAAGACAAATTTCAATGTGGTTTTGTGAAATGGAAATCAGGTTTAACTTAATTTATTGAAGTTCTTTAGTGAAGAAATAGATATCTGTGCCAGGAGATCTAAGTTCAAGTCCTACCTGCATCTGTGGTATGTAATGACATCTCTGAACAGATGATTGTGGAATAACTAAGAAATAATAACGTGTTTTGGATCAAGAGGAGCTGATGGTTGCACCATAGTTAGATCTCCAGAAGATTCTGGATAAGTTGCCATATCAAAGGCAGAAAGTAAAAGCTCATGGTGTATGGAGTAGCATATTGACATTGATAGAAAATTTGCTAGCTAACAGGAAACAGAGATTAAGTAAAAATGGGTCATTTCCTTCTTGACAAGGTATAACGAGCGTATGCCACGGGATCAGTGCTGGGGCAGCAACATTTTACCAGTAAAATGACTTGCATAAATGCACTGAAAGCATGATTTGCTAACTTTGTTGACAACACAAAGGTAGGTAGGATAGTAAATTGTGAAGATGACATAAAGTTACAAATAGACACACCTAGGTTAAATGAGTGCTGGAAAATGAAATATAATGTATGAAAATGTGAAGTCATTCCTTTTGGCTGGAAAAATAAAAAAAATTATCCACATGGTGAAAGCTTGCAGAGCTGTGACGTGCAAAGGGATCCTACTGCATGAATTGCTAAAAGTTAGTATGCAGGTAATTAGGAAAGCTAGTAGAATGTTATTGTTTATTGTGAGGAGAAATGAGTAATGTCGGTTGGTATATGCTTTATTTATACAGGGTACTGATGAGACCAAATCTAGAGATACTGTGCACAGTACTGGTCTCTCTTAGCTAAGGAAGGATGCAAATACATTGGAAGCAGTTCAGGGAAGATTTAGTAGTCTAATGACACAATGTGTGCATTCAAGCTACGATGAAGGGTTGGAGATGATTGGTTTGTAACCGCTGCAGATTAATAAAATAAGAGGCTATTTGATTTAAACATAAAAGATAATGAGGTGTCTTGACAGA